GAGGAATAAACCCCATGGTATGTCCAGGGAAAAACTCTTTGCAAAACCCTTCTCTTGTATGCTCGGAATAGGGCATTTCCATCCCCCTTCCTTTGCTATGGCTGTGTGAGCTGAAACGGGAGTGTGCTCTGTAGCAGCTGTCAGGAACCTTGTATTTGCACATTTAGCTTATCTTTCTTCCTAGAAATGTGACTTGTGCAGCACAGACCTTTTCCTATATTTTCCTCTCGTTTTTCATTTTCATTTGATCAGACAGTTTTATTTCTGGTAAGTACTACTTTCACATCACAGAGAAAGAGAGGGAAATTAAGAATCAATTCATCAATTCATACATTTCATTATCTGCCTTTCAACCAGTTAACACTGAATTAGAACACACAATAGGCTTCAAGTTTGCCCTGTACTTTGCAAGAAACAAATGTTTAAAGAGAAAATGACCACAGTTAGGATATCATTTCTCTTCATAACTGGATAAATGATCACAGTTAGGATATCATTTCCTGTTCAAGAGGAAAAGGGTGTAATATGCTGATATAATAAAATCTTAAGTAACTTGCATTGTTTTAGAACAATAGATTTACATGATTATTTTTGTATGATAAAGCCAATTTCTGATAGAAATATTTCCCTTAGATATTTTTAACGTTAAATTCCTAAATTCAGAACAAAGAAACAATATCTATCTTTATTCATAAATATATAAAAAAAATACAGCCATCAATGAAGCAATTCCAACAAACACTGAAAAAAACCTCCACCTTGCTTATCATATAAGAAAGCACAATTACTTGATTGTCATGATTTGTTAATCCCCACACACTTTTTGTCTTAGCCGGTTAGGCTCACTCAAAGAGCTGAAACTACTGATTCTGTGTATAAATACCAAGAGCCTATAGAATATGGAATACACCATGTTGAGAAGAGATGGGGAATACAGTGTGAGTCCTTTAAAGAAAAGATGGTTGCGGAGACCAGGCCGATCCAGCTCCCTCCTCTGCCCTCTTGCCACACCGCTTCTTTTTCTGGAGCTGCCTCAGAGAGTGGCCGCCCGCAGGTAGGAGTTGAAGTCCACACTGCAGCAAGCCCTTTGCTCCTCTCCTGGCCGGGTGGGTATCAAGGTTTCCCACGGCATGAAGCTGGTACCCTTTTCCACACCTTTTCTCAGTGCGGATGATATGAGGGGTCTATTGATCTTCAGTGAGGGCTTTTAAAACTTTTGAAATTATCCAAAACGTCCACAAATTTAGGAGGAACATTTGTACATTTATATTCGACATGGTTATCTAATTACTCTGATTGTTCTGACGTCATATGCGTATAACAGAACAATAAACCCATTTGAAGATGCTATTTTGATGAAATAACCAATAATCTTTTCCTCTCTTCCTTAGACCCTCCCGTATTAGTCTTCTCACTGATCTAGCTGCCTCTAGTCTCCTCCTATTTCAGTCCATTTCTGGGCTGCTCCCCAAATGATCCTCCTAAGACATGGCTTGATTATGGCTCTGTATAAAGCTTTTTGATAGCTCCCGGTACACCAAGGTGAGGCTGTAGTTCATCTGAAGCATGGCAGGCAAGGCCGTGCACAATTACCTTGCCAGCCTTATACTCTTTCCCTTTCAGGCCTGGTGCCTCTGCAGAACTTCAGCCTGGCGAGCTTGCCCTCTCTAGGAAGCCTTCCCTCACTCCGTGACTTAGAATCTCCTAGGTATCACCACGGCAGTGGCTGGGAACTCTTATGGGCCTGAATGTTATTGGATCTCTTGTTCATCTAAAAAGATCATCATCATTGCTTAGCTGCTTGCCTGATATGTGTAAATTGAGTAAATTAAAAAAGGTAGCCGAATTAGTTCCCATTCGGCCAGAGCTTTCTTAGATCAAAACCACTGGCCCTAACAGGTTTTACTGGCTCCAAATGATTACCTGTTTGTTTGAAGCCACATCTGGCTCATCATATGTTCCTATAAATAGGCAATATGAGAATGTATGTGCATAACTGTGCCAAAGCCAAATATATATAGGAGTCCTTCTAAGCTTGGCTAGGGAAAATCAATTCAGTTTTCAACAGATAAACATACAAATCACCACAAATCGCTTTCATATAAATACGTTTTATTGCAGAGATGTTATCATTATTTACATGCTGCAACATGTCACAACATAAATTTACCAAATATTTCATGGTGGGATGCTGTAGGTTTCAGATAATAGTTTCAGAAGAACCACAGATTAAGTGAAGAGACTTACAGCTTTATTGACTCTACACCTCTTGGTTGCTAAATGCTAGAGGTCAAAGGCAGTGTTTTTCAGTCCTACCTGTCTCACTTGCATGCAGAAACCTATGAAGCAAATACAAGAGAACTGTCGAGTTTCGAGTCCCTATTGCCACCAAAGTTTACAATGGGTTGAGTTATAATTCATGTCGTAAAGCATTTAATTCTGGCATAAAATATACAGTTCTATTAAATTGGTATAAATCTACTTATTTATAAACCCTGGCTTAAAAACAAGGACAGGATGCAGCCTGCACATGCACTGAGGACAACCTAGCGAGTGTCTGTGACCTTGGAAGTGTTTATTCACTCTCTTATGATCGACCTGGGAAAATAACCTCAAGAACTGCAGATTTAAACTTCTCTTGGTGATAAGTAATGACAATGAAACTCTAGGGAAGGCCCTAGGCACTCTCACTGATGTATGCTGGTGGAGGAAAATCTGCGGACAAAGGTGAACTTTGGTGAGTTTCTTTAAGCCACGCCTTGAGCAGGACTACCCCGAGGCGCAATAAAAAGCCACTGATGCCTGACTGCTTATTTCTCAAAAAAGTGAATAAAGTGCTAACAGATCTCAGACATAAATTAAACAAGCACGTGGGTCTGGAAACCGGCGTACAAATATACCTTAACGTGGTATTTCTAAGTGACCAAGTAGCTAGGCCTTGATTGAAAAGGAAGGGAAGAAGGAAATAAATGAAGGAAGCACACACAAAAATAGAATTTCTCTCTCTTCGAACCTACCCCATGAACCTGAGTGATGCACAAAGCGAGGAACTGGGTGAGGGAGATTTGTGCACAGCTTTGCAACATGGTGAAGGGCTCACTTACTCCTGAATAAAAATCGCTGAGGAAGTTTTGATGATACGGAGAAGTCCTAGTTTTTACCATTCACTGAGAATGATATTCCCTAAGAACAGCCCTGCATCCACCTTATGATTCCCTTTCTCATCTTTTATCCCCCTAGCATGTCTTCCTTGCTGCTCATGAAATGAAAAGTTACTTAGGCTGGAAGTGTCCTGGCCAGATGAGCCCTTGAGACTTCAGTGTTCAGCGTGAGAGAAAGGGAAGTCAGGGTTCCGTGTTTAAGTGATTAATCTTTAAATACAGTGAGACTGAGCTTTGAGATAGAATCTCCTCGCACGGTCACATCAGCAGGGCTAAGTCAGCAGCTTAGGATTTTCACACCAAGAGACCAGTGTGGAATGCAATAAATTTTATGAAATATGCTTTGGGGGCTGTTTCGCCTTGCAAAGAACCCTCTGCATTTTAAGTTTTGAGCTAGGTGGCTCCTAGTGGCAATTTGTAGGACTTGTAAGTTTTCCAATGCTTGGGAGAATGATGAGCCCATACCACCTTATAGGCTTGGAATAAATCAGATTATAAATCTCTTTGGGATGAGCCCAGCAAGTTCTAGCCCTAGCTGAAGCAATGAATAAGAGTTTATGAGAATAAATAGTTTAAGGTCATTGAAAATATTATATATTTAGTATGCACAATAAAAATACACCCATACAATGATCTTGATGTTATCATAATTTTTCTCTTTAAAAAAATAACCCCTTGAAAGTGCTACCAGGAGCTCCTTTTCTGTCTGCTTTGAAAGGCAGATTTCCTGGCTCTACAGTCCTGCTGCAGTTCTCCTGTCATTCCTAGTCTGCCCCTTCCAACGGTAATAATAATGCACAGTATATTTTTCTCACTCTTAGAGTCTTCCTTATAAAATGCTGCTAAGTATGAAATACGGAAAGAGTTAAAAGGGACAATTAATTGGAATGAAGGCTTTATCTATCTCTGACTTCAAACAATAGGTAAGTTGTCCTTAACTTATTGAGACGTAAGACTATGTAGGACCACTGGATGTCCAGTATTAATAGAGCTTCTGAGTCCTGGCACAAAGTGCAAAACAAGTAACTCAACTCGTATTAAAAACCTGATTAAGACAGTATAACAAACCATGATGTGAAATAATAGAGTTAATCCAAATTTGCAATATATAAATCACAAAACTGAAAGGTTTCATCATAACAATTATGACTTTCCAAGCCAGAGAAAGCTTACTGTACTTCAAGAATCAACTAAAGTTGATAGATAACAGGGATTCTGTAAGTTGCAAGAACAATTGAGTAGCTGAAGGTTGCATAAATGTGTGTCACATAATATCAAAGTTATTTGCAAAAATTATACAATCTGGAATGCTTGAGTATGAGACACAACAATGTACTGAAACATACATTTGTAAGAAAATGAGAGCAATCATTAATACAAAAGATTTTTTGGGATGCATTAAGTTAGCAGTGCTATCAAGGTTATATAGGTAAAGTAAGTTCTTTTCAGCCAGCTACTTAGAATCTCTGTCATACTCACTGATGTCTTCTTTGCAAACTTCTTACCTCTTCCGTGTCTCCTGGTTTGCCTTGCTTAGGATCTTCGAAGTCCCATGGGTACATATTGATCAGGGGCAGACATTGAGGGCTACTTCTAAACATGCTGAAATGTAAAGATTTTCCTAGTGCTACCAGGGGAAAGACTTTTTGGCCAGTCTAACTTCTCCATGATGATGTTTCTCTACCCTCCTTAGTATTCTTCCACCCATGCCTTTCATGTTTCCCTGATTGACAAATACTCCTTGGGAATCTTTGACCCTTATATCTTCTGTCTTATCAAATTCAGGGTTTCTTCCTTTTCTTTCTAGGGATGCTACACTTTGAAAGTACCCCAGACCTCTTATTTCCGAGGCCCTGGTATTTTATTCGCATTTAAAGTCGAAGAGGCAGGTAAAGCTACACCATTTTTGGCATTTGGTTGATCTGGGGTCTCAAACTCCCAGGGACACACCTCAGCTCGTGATGTTAAAGGCTGCTGACAGTTATTATTTGACTTATAGGAAGATGTCTTTGTTTCCTGGTCTCCTATTAGGTTGAGATTTTCATTTTCTACTGTGGATGCTATGACTTTGGGGGACAGTTCTTCATATTGCCCAGCACACATACTGGCTGCACAAAGCTGACTGCCATTCTCATCTTTTGCTCTCCCTGGGGGAGCCTGAGTCTTGGAAATCAAATGCTTCTCCTCTTCAAAAAGGGGCTGACCGTGGCTTTCCCAAGGGCAGACCTCAGCCTTGTCTATGCTCTTCTGGTTGGATTGCTGACATAGTTCAGCCGCCTTAGGCTTGTAATGAGATCGCTCCTTTAAGGACAAGGCTGGGTTTTTCTCCATTTCCGAAGCCACAATAGATACATGCTTTTGAACTTTTGATTCTGAAGGCACAGGACCAGGGGTCAGGTCATAAATCTCCCAAGGGCACACTTCCCCTATGTCACAGTTGTCCTTCATCTGGGTGGTGCCCGGGCTCATGTCTGGATTGGCAGTGGCGGGGTTGGGCCTTTGCTGCTTCATAATCCCAGACTTCTGAGGTTTCCTTGGCTCCTCCAAATGATTGGAGTTTGGGGGGACAGAATCTTTAGTCTCTGCGTTATCTGAATTTGAGTATTTTCTGCTTGTCTCTTTATCTTTTGGCAGAGGTTTCTGGGATTTAGCGCGTTCTTCCATACCCGACGTTTGGGTTTTCCCAGCTAACCCCAGAGTCTTCTCCTTGGCACTGGCTATGACACTGAGCGACTTTTGTAACATGGACGTTCGTGGGTGCCCGGGCTTCTTCTCTGAGCTGAGATTGTGAGCGCTCGCTGACTTACACACCAAAGGCACAGACTCCGTGGACTCGGCCTCGCTGTTTTCTTTCAGTGTCTGTGTTAATTTTTTACCCGACGGGGACTCCAGCGTGGAGTTTTCCGTGGCTTCCTCCTCTTGGCTCTCGGTGGGGAGGCTGTCGGACTCGTCGGGCTGGTCCCTCACATGGTCGTAGGTGCTGTGGGACTTCTTCAGGGAGAAGACTCGGCTTTTCAGGGACTCCTCCTTGGGCTTCCCAGCGTTGGCTGAAGGCTCGGGGGGGTGCCTCCTCAGGAGCGCGGAGCTCCTGGCCGCGCCGTGGTCCGCGGCCTCCTTGTCGTCCTTGGAGCACTGCCTGCTGACCGTCTCCGGGATCTCGGTTATGCGCCTCATGATGGAGCGGCCCAGGCCCTTCTTGGAGCACCGCTTTTTCTGGAGGTGGGGGTTATTCGTGATCATCTTCTTCCTTTTATATATTTCCAGCTGGGTGTAGAGTTTCTTCAGCTCATCCTGCCAGAACAAGAGAAAATTCACAAGGGGTGTTTCAGCCAGATAATATCACGGAAGGTCATTTTAATGCGATAAGCCTGAGCCCTCTCAGGAAACTTCTAGAGCTCTTCCTAACATTTCTGATCTACTTTTTCTTCATTCTTACTTCCTGATCATTTTGTATTTTGTTTCGCATAGAGCTGAGACTCTAAGACCTACACCCATGCTTACTAGCCTTGCTTCATGGAGCAAGAACTTGGAACTTGCAAGTTGTGTGGGCCAGACTGAGCCTGGACCATAATAAAACAGCATATTGTCTACCGATAAACCACATCCTTGCAACAATATTGGAAGAATCATGTAGCCCCTGATAAAGTTACACGTAATGTTAGATTAGGTTTAGGGGACAGCAGACCATCACATACTAAAAGCATATTTTTTCTCCAAAAGCTGACATATCGTCACAGGTTATTTTAAATAATCCAGGCTCTCTGCTCACAGAGGGAGCCAACCTTTCCATCAGCAAAATGTCATAAACCGTATTATGGAACATGCAGAACAAGTTCATCATGATGTCTGCCAAAGTCAGTTGAGATGATCAAGGTTGGTTTGTGCATTCTAATTTATACCATGATTACACATTTTAGAACAGGATCCACTTGGCACTTGATGTCTTCAGTTCTTACATAAACACACATTCTCTCATTTTCTTCCTTTCTAACACACATATGCACACACGTGAGCACACATGTATACCAACCCGCACATGCTTGCCTGCATAAATGGGGCTAATTTGAAATGAGAAAGAAATGCTGGTATTACCCGGATGTCCTCTGGATCCAAGCTGTGCTCACTCCACGCTGAGTTGATGCTGCTGTTCAGGTAGGATCCAGACCGGCCCATGTCCAGCTCATCCTCATAAGCTTCTGTAGCAATGTCATCTCGTGGGTTATTGCTTGAATGTGAAAACTGCAATAGATATTATCTGAGCTCTAGACATTGCCCACTGTAAGACATAGCATTTTAATAATAATTTTCTAAAGGTTCTAATGTTACTATCATTTCTTCAGCTTAGATGAATTTGTTCTCTGAACTCTTTACAGCAGTTTGCTGCTGTGTTTGTGTTTTGCTTTCTGTGTTACACACTGATGTGGTACTGGGCTCCCTCTTTGACTTTTGTCTAGGCTCCCAGCATCAACTTACATTACACCTTGTCCATAATATTTGCACTTCGAAAATGAAAATAAGTCAAGACTCCAAAGAAATGTTCTCTAAGTACAAGAATCCAAAGAAATGTTCTTTAGACCCCCCACTGGCAGCTGGATGGGAATTTTTTTTTGAGCAGTGGTGTCTACCACACATTTATCATTTTGCTTCACATAGGGGAGGCTATATTTCACCTCTGGGCACTGTTGGCCCTGATCACAGGAATGTGACTTTCAATCCACAATACATAGTTTTAAAAAAGTCTACTTTCAAAAGGTGAAGGGATTAAGAATTACAAATTGGCAGTTATAAAAACAGTCACAGGAATGCAAAGTACAGCATAAGGAATGTAGCTGGTAATATTGTAATAACTATGTATGGTGCCAAGTGGGTACTAGACTTATTGGGGGCATCATTTTGTAAGTTATATAAATGTCCAACCACTATGTTGTACAGCTGAAACTAATATAATATTGTATGTCAGCTATAATTGAAAAAAGTTTAAGTATTTTTTAAAAGTCTACTTTTAAGACTTGGGGAGCAGGAGATCTGAATTCCAGCCTCACGGGGTTGGCAGTGAGATTTTAAACAAGTCATGGACCTCTCAGCACTGTGCCCACTCAGCCTGCAGAGCTCTGGGTTAGATGGTACCTAAGTTCAAAATTAAAAGCGTCACTGAAATGACATATTATTTTTCCCTCGAGCTCATTATTCTCAAGCTCCCCTTTATCCTATTTTGACATATTTTTATTATTTTCATTTGCTGTTTTGATATTTTGCAGTTTCATATACTCTTGCTATCTCTATTCTTCAAAAGGAGACCCGAGGAAGAGTGAGTTGGGTAAATGAAGAAAAGCAGGGAGAGCCAAAGCAATCCAGCCACTCTTCACACAACACATAAACCAAGTGCTTGTCCTGTGAAAACAGAGAACAGTTTAGAGAACACAGGTGCCCTTCTCCCAGCTTGTCCTCAAGTCAAATATTCCTTTACAAAATTAACAGATCACCTTTTGATAATAGAGATATTTTAATGGTCATTGTCCATGAAAATATTCAGGTAGGAAGGTAAACCTAAATAGAAGGGATCATGTGAAATGGAAATTCTCTATTTAAGTAGCAATAAATATTTTTTAATTGGAACTGGCTGAGAAACCACAAAAACTGATGAGTCTTTCCTTCACTGCTCTACTTATGTTTGTGGTTCCAACATCTGCCATTACCTTAAGGCTAGAAAGATGAATAAAGTAGAGTCCCTAGCCCCCCAAATAGCACATGCTACTAGTTAAACCACCTGGAGCTTATTTACGAAAAGAGGTTTTTTTTTCTTTCTTGAGCAAAGTCTTAAAGACTATCGTGAGTTTAAAAAACAGTTATTTGTCAGATACTGTCCATTTCCTGCTTTATTATTTTTCTTGTGTTTCTCTCTACCTAAAATACTATTTCAGATATTTATCTTATTTATCTTTCCTGTTTCCCCATCCCGTCCTCCGGAACATAATTACCAGGAGATCACAGATTTTTATCTGTCCATTACTCTTACTCCAGGATCTAGAACAGTGCTTAGCAAAGCCTCTCAATCATTTTTTTAAAAAATTACTGTTCTTGAGATAAAATTTACATACCATAAAATACTCAATATACATTGTACAATTCCATGTTTTAGAGCATATTCACAAGGTTGACTGACCATATTTTCAACACCCCAGAAGGAAACCTTGGACTCATTAAGCAGTCACTTCCATTTGTCGTCCCTCCAATCCCAGCCCATGACAACCATTAAACTGCTTTATGTCTTCACAGAGCCGCCTATTCTGGACTTTTCACATAAATGGAATCATACAATATGTGGCCTTTTGTGTCTGGCTTCTTTCACTCGGCATAGTGTTATCAAGTTTTGTACAAGTTGTAGCATGTATCAGTACTTCATTCCTTTTTATTGAATAATATTCCACTGTATAGACATACCACATTTTATTTCCACATTTATCAGTTCATGGAAATTCGGGTTATTTCCACTTCTTGGCTATAATGAATAGTGCTGCTATGAACATTCAAGTATACATTTTTGTATGAGCCTATGTTTTCAATTTTCTTTGGACCTCAAAAACAGTTTATTGAATGAATAAGGAATCTGAGTATACAACCATCTGCTGTTATCATATTATGCAAAGTATAAAAATGGTTAAGATAAGTTGAAGTAACTTATCCGTGAAATTGTGGCGATTTGGTATAATTCAAATAAGGAAGAAAAGAGGTAGTTGCTTTTTTAATAATCATTTGGCCTTTTCAACCAGGCTGTATTTCAATGTTTTGGTTGTCTGAGGGTTGAGATAAAGCTTGGGGTGAAAGACAAGAAATCACAGTTCTTGTTGCAGCCGTGCTAATGTCATATTGTGTGGCAGTGATAAAGACTGATCCCTTCATAAAGTACGCAAATGTCTCATCACTATGTTGTGCACCTGAAACGAACATAATATTGTATATCAACTATTATTGAAAAATAAATTTAAAAAAGAAAAAAGGCATATAATGTTCTAATATTTTGTTGTTCTGCGTGTAAAAGAGGAAAATAATGAGAATGCTGTGTAATTTGTATAATCTGTTTTTTCCTCTGATATCATTTCATTTCATTCCAGGCAACCTTATTGCCATCAAGTCATAGATGGTCTTGGCTAATGTCATATTATACAGCTAGTCTGGGTGAAGCATGAGTTCCGAATCCATGTGTCCTGAGTTCTGGCCCAGTCCCCCACTTCATTATGCTTCCTAGATAAGCCTTTGTAATAATCTACCATTATTAAGCAAGACTCTTCTAGGCACACTATTTGAATTATTTATTTCTATTTAAATAAAAATCCTCTGAATGTTTAAAACAACATTTCTCTGAATATGAATCCAAGACAAGAGAATTCTTAGAACAGTATAATTCTCTTTAAAAAGGACTTTGATGTTATAGCTACAATGAAAGCCACCTTGAACCCATAACAATGAAAACTAACTGGATATAGAAATACTTGGAAAGGACTAAAGCAGATGATAGGCTTTGAACATTTTAAGGCATTTAACAATTATGTGAAATATTTCATAAATCCCCAAAGAAAACAGACACCTAGTTTCCTGAGGACCGAGCTTTAAAAATATTTTAGATGTCAAGCCAATCTCCACACCTCCCTTGGCCTATATTGCCAGGCATTTTTAAAGGAGAAACCACTCGAGGCTCATGTAAGATAATTGTTTTTCAAGAGAAAAGTAATCTTAGAGGAATACCTTTGGAATCAAAAGCAACCCAATGGTGACTGTCACAGTCAAATGAGTGTGTGCAAAATACAGCATCAGCATCCAATCAGACTGAAGCCTTGAGGCAAGAACAAATCTGAAATTAGAATACACCAAGTTAGCAATCTCACACGGTCTCTCCTTAAACACCAGAAACTTGAAAACTCTTTATCTCAGTGGATTAAGAAAAATATATAAAGAAAAAAGAAAGGAAAAATATTGTGTTGTTTCTATGACATGTTTTCATCACAGAAGTATAAGGGCCTAGGTAATCCCAATTGGATGCATAATATATGAACTCTCTATTATTTATTACTTTAAATTATCCATAATTAGAAAGATAGCATACACATTTTAATGTATTAAACATTTCCTCAGATTATCGTTTTGTATGTAGGTTGAATCTGCAAAGCAAAAACAGCAAACATATGTTACTTCAGTAAGAGAGTTGTTGCAAACTGGTGGTTTCTGGCAAATTTGGGTGTAAAACATGTCCAAATAACTCATGAGTCTACATTCTTCATTTAAAATATTAATTAGAATTAAATGGTGAATCTTTAAAAAAATAATTTTGACATATACTGATGTCAATTACCCCCAAATTAACCAACTTATAATTACTACCACAGTTTTGGGTTGCAGTTCTGACTAGAAATATCTCAAGAGAAATTGGGTTTTGTGCTAGTTTTAAAGCTTCATTTAAAAAGAAAGAGTATTTCAACTTTAAAAAAATAGGTCTAAAAGTCAGGAACATAGAAATATCTGAAAATTGAGCTTAAGAATAAAAGCAAACTTAAAAAATCTTTGTATTTTCTCAAAGGTTTGCTTTATGCTTGGTACTAACAATCAGTGAAAGATTACAATTGGCTGGGCAAATGCCCTCTGCATTATCTACCCTTCTAGACTTAATCCTTGTAAGTTACTTTCCTTTAATCTGCCAATTTGGTAAGAATAAAAGTACATGTGTGTATAATATGTAGTCATACTTTTTATTTATATATGTATACATACTCATATGCATATATAATTTTATATCTTAAGCAGATGAGAAAGAATATATATATGCCCTGTTAATAGAGAATACCTTTGCTGATGCCAGAAGCTTTATTTAATATTATTTTATTCCAGGAAATTATTACCAAAATGGATCTATCTGATTTAAATTATTATGCTATTTTTTTTCTTACACTTGGACTATATTAATATTGGAACCAAGCATACATGAATTCAGTCCATGTGCTACTTAGTTTAATTATTATGACCTATTACTTGTTCCATACTCATCCCCCTAAAGTGAGTGTTCTGTGGACTTACTGTGTTAAGCTATAATTCCATCCTTGGTTTTTCATGGCTGTAGAAATTAAATTTCCAAAAGAGAGTAGCTAACATACAGGGTGGGGCAAAAGTAGGTTTATAGTTGTGAGTATGCAAAACATAGAGTTTATTCTTGTATTATCATTTATTAATTATTGTATTATTTTCCATACCAACAACTATAAACCCATTTTTGTCCTACCCTGTATATTATATGATTCTTTGAAGCCAATACACTATAATCTAATCAAGTCTGGTCTATATAGAAAGGTAAGTCAATTTGGGAGTGAAAAGGGAGGGCTTCCCATCAGGTTTGTTTAGGCTTGCCTAAGAAAATACTAAAGCCTACCAAGTCTGGTCATTCTGCTACCATTGGAAGTCCTCCCTGTTCCAAACTGATAGAGGGCCACATAGCTGTTTAGAAGAAAACCGACCTTGTGAGGATGCTGCATCTAGTCAACACCAAATCTACTAGGTGCAACATGAATAATTCAGTAAGAGCTTTGTTTCCATGAACTCAGCTCATAGTTTATATGGTTCTTCTTGCTGGGCTATGGGTTGTATGGGACTCTATAGAAAACATTTAAGCAAAGTAAGTAAGCTGTTTTCAATGAGTATTTTAAATATGTTTCTGATCACCTTGGCTCAATATTAAAACAGTATTTTCTGAAGTGCTGCTAACAATCACATGTCAATTGAAGGGTGGGGGGATTCCATGGTCAGTTAAGTTTAGAAAATGCTGGTTAAACAAAATTAAGTAGATTTCCTATGTCTGGACTTCTCAGTATGCTAGTTTGCATCATGACTTTCTTAAAACGGAACTATCGAATGCCATGTAACATAAATATCCACATGCATTTAAAAATATAAAAAAGTGACATACTAATATGTTAACAATGCTTATCTTTGTGTAGTTGGATCAGGGAGTTTCTTTTTGTATCATCTTATGAGGTTTTTTTTGTAATGACTGTCTATTGCCTTATTAAGAATTTTTAAAAAATTTATTGAAAATAATTTACCTCAACCACTTTTGATAAGATGTGGACTACTTGAAAGTTTAAAATCCACTGGAAAAAATACCCATACTTAATGATGAAAACTGAACAGGGTAAATCAAGGTAGAAAAGAATATAGATCATTTTAGGTAACTATTTTGAACAGATTTAATTTCTTGAGCAATTAATTTGGTTCTAAGAAATACAGCAGGTAATTGTAGGACAGAAGTGGGAAATCCTTTGCATGGCAATTACACTCTGACAATAGAAGACGTTTAGACTCATCTGTAATAAGCCTTCGTGAACGATTATAACTCTTTAGTTGGTTTGTTAATGTAGCATTTAATTTATAAGTGATTTTAGAGAAGCATGTTTGTTAGATCTTGAAACATATGTGCTTGATATTCTGGAAACAACCAACCAAAATGCAGCTTTTCCTGGGAGATGGTTTGGAAGAAGAGTAAAGGCCACTGAGCTCAGGCACCAAGAAAAAGCATTCTCAGGTGCTCACTACATTTTCGACCAAGGGCACCTGCTCTCAGAGCCTTGACTCTATAGTCTGTGTAGAACTGAGAAAGCACCCATCTCCCTGCCTGTTCATTACTCCATATTTTGCTTTTCATCTTTTCTCCCTCTTCTACTCCCTCTCCTCTTTCTGTCTTGCAAGGGGGCAAGACAAAGCAAGGAAGCAAATTCCCTTGATTCCTGGCCCTCTGGTGGAATTTCCAGGGCTGTCATCATAAATACCTCTTTTTCTTACCAGAAGTTCAAAAAGTGTATGCTATGGCATCATCTATTCCTAGAAGTGCAAGATGCCATTTTATGATTGTTTACTAAAGTAAAAGATGATAATTATCCTGCAAAACTTCCACAGATTCACAACCTCCCATGCTGATTCACAATATTATTAATCTCTATTTTCCCAATAAGGGCAAAGACAAATATTCAGTTTCTAATTACATTCTTTAGCATGTCTTAACTTTTAATAATGTCAAGAAATTGAATGACATCTTTTTGATGCTTTTCAAATTATAGTATTCCTTTTCTGTTTTTTGTTCTGAGTTTTTCATTTCATTTTCAAATGTGAATCAGGTGAAAATTCCCAGAACATAAGTCATACGTATTTCATTTTGTCCACTTATCATAAGCCACTTTCTTCCTTTGCACTCATTGATTAGAGAGATACATGTGACATTAAAAACAGCGGGCCGGGCCATACATTCTTACCACTGAACATTATTGCTAAACTGTAATAATGTCAAAACCCCATTGCCCACAAAAATAGTCATCAGTTTGAAGTGGTTTTTGGTTTTGAATTCAGCAAAATTCACACATATATGTTGTCTATCTGAGTATTAAAATTTTGAAAGTATAAATCAGCCTATAAAACATGAATGAAAACAGATAATTTATATCTACTTGTATGTATTGCTTTATGTCTTCAGAACAAAAAGTATTGCATATCATAAATGATATTCAATGACATCCCCATAAGTGGCTTAACATAATAAGTGAGTTACCTTCAAAATAAATGAAGGCAAAAAACAACCCATCAGAAGGAACTAAGAGGAGCAGAGTTAAAAAAACAACTATATTCATTTGTCACTTCTGAGACAAAGAAATTAATCAGCTTATAAAACACCGTCTTTCCTAAATCTTTCCATTATGCATGTTATCCAAATTTGCTATTTAAATTAAACTAGAACACATTGGAAAAATAAAACAATTGTTTTCTAGCTCTACAGGTCACTTGCCTAATTGTATGGAATATAGCAGAGATAATCAGCTCATTGTGAACTGCAACAGCCATGTAGCGTGGCTCATGAAATGCTGATGGGACTGTCCGCACTGCATAGCAGAGATAAACACCCCACAAGAGGAATAAAAATTCAGCTGTGAGAATAAAAACAAACAAACAACTTTCCATTAGTTTTATAAGTGAAGAAAAAAGTAAAATTTAAGTTCCTTAGCATGCACTTTGTTTCTATTGTAAAACCATAAATTTAGAAATAGGTGCATATAGAATATCATTCACATATAAACATAATCCATAAAGTAATTTTTAAAATTTTATTCAGTGCACAGATAATTTTTCAAAGGTATACTTTGTTTTATTATTATTTTTTAAACAGTGTTTGGTGTCTCAGATTTTTTTTTTTTGCTAATATCTGGCTTTTTCCTAAAATAATTATGAAATAATTTTCCACATTGCCAACTGAAGTTTAAGATGTTCATAGAGCAGCTGAGTGAAAATAAAGTCATCAAAGCAACCAAAGGCTTGTAATGTGTTTCTATGCAGCTTCTGGAAACTTAGGCTATTACTGCATTGAGTCTAGTTCAATGCATAACAATATCCATTCCCAGAAATGTGAGAAAACAGGTTGCTAAACATTCTGTGGCATGTTTGTAAATGAACCATTATTTCTTCACACATGACAGACATCATATCTTTTGTGGGTGGAGTGCTGGGGCCTTAGTAAAATTCACAACCACCTTGTCTGCTGGCTCAAACCAGAAGAGACCAGCACAGTGTAGCAGTTAAGGAGAAGGGCTTCAGAATCCCACTGGACCTGAGTGGGAATCCTGGCTCAATCCCTGATGAACTTTGCATAATCTGAGGCAACTTAACTTCTCTGGCCACAGTTTCCTTATCTGGAAAATGAGGATAATAAAAGTACGTATTTCATGGGATTATATGCTAATGAAATCAAATAATGAATATAAAGCACTTAACATAGTTTCTAACACAGTATGGTAGATAAATTAATTAAAAACCATAAACATTTAAATAATTGGTTCTTATTGTTTAACATCTCATTGACTGTTTTTTTCCCCCCAAACTGAACACTGCTATTTTAACTCTTTCTGACCAAAAACCTAATAAACCTTACAATCCATTTTATCTGTCTTACTGACATGACCTCATTGAAAGATAATATCTAATTAATAAGAAGAAAGCTTTAATTTGGAGAAAACATTTTATGGAATACATTACCTAAAGGTAACCTAAATATATACTGAAACACTGATTTCCGTTCTCATGTGTTTTACCTGCCCAAGTTTCAGCATATTTCTACCAGTATTTAAACAATAGGTTGTGCCCCAATTATTGCAAATCTCTTAAAACACAATTGCCAAGAGTTACCCTAAAATGCTGACGTGGTCCGAAGCCCAAGAAAAAAATAACTCTCATTCAAAGATCTCCATGGGGATTTTTTTGCAATGGTTTTGCCTCTGGAACACAGGTGTCGTAAAAGCCACTGCTAAATGTAAGCCAAAGTGGAAAAGGAAAAGACTCATATCAACATCGTCATCATTGGACATGTAGATTCTAGCATCTACTGGTCATCTGATTTACAGATGTGGTGGGATCCACAAAAGAACCATCGAAAAATCTGAGGAGGCTACTGAGATGAGGAAGGGCTCCTTCAAGTATGCCTTGGTCTTGGATAAACTGAAAGCTGAACGTGAGAGTGGTGTCATCACTGATATCTCCCTGTAGAATCTTGAGACCAGCAAGTATTATGTGACCATCCTTGATGCCCCATGACACAGAGACTTTATAAGAAACATGATTACAGGCACATCTCAGGCTGACTGTGCTGTTCTGATTGTTGCTGCTGGTGTTGGTGAATTTGAAGCAGGCACCTCCAAGAACGGGAAGACCTATGAGCATGCCCTTCTGGCTTACACACTGGGTGTGAAACAACTGATTGTTGGCATTAAAAAAATGGATTCCACTGAGCCACCCTATAGTCAGAAGAGATATGAGGAAATCATTAAGGACTCATAGCAACACCTACCTACCATAAGGAAATTGGCTACAACCCAGGCACAGTAGCATTTGTGCCAATTTCTGGTTGGAATGGCAACAACATGCTGGAACAAAGTACAAACAGGCCTCGGTTCAAGGGATGGAAAACCTTCAGTAAAGATGGCAATGCCAGGGAACCACACTGCTCGAAGCTCTGTATTTCATCCTGTCACCAACTTGTCCAACGGACAAGCTCGTGCATCTGTTCCTCTAGGATACTGGTACAAAGTTGGTGGTATTGGTACTGTCCCTGTGGGCTGAAGGGAGACTGGTGGTCTTAAACCTGGCATGGTGGTCACCTGTGCTCCGGTCAATGTTACAACTGGAGAAAGTCTGTTGAAATGCACCATGAAGCTTTGAGTGAAGCTATTCTGTGACCATGTGGGCTTCGATGTCAAGAACCTGTCAGTCAAAAATGTTCATCGTGGCAACATGGCGGGTGACAGCAATGACCCACCAATGGAAGCAGTTGGCCACACAGCTCAGGCGATTATCCTGAACCATCTAGGCCAAATCAGTGCTGGATATGGACCTGCGTTGGACTGTCACACAGCTCACAGTGCTTGCAGATTTGCTGAGCTGAAGGAGAAGACTGATTATCTTTCTGGGAAAAAAACAGAAGATAGGCCAAAGCTTTTGAAATCTGGTGACAGCGCCATTGTTGATATGGTTCCTGGCAAGCCCATGTGTGTTGAGCGCTTCTCTGACTACCCCCTCTAGGGCTGTTTTGCTGTTCATGACATGAGACAGACAGTTGCTATGGGTGTCATCAGAGCAGTGGACAAGAAGGCAGCTGGAGCTGGCAAAGTCACTAACTCTGCCCAGAATGCTCAGAAGGCTAAATGAATATTATCCCCAATACTTGCCACCCTGGTCTTAGTCAGTGGTGGAAGAAGGGTCTCAGAACTATTTGTGTCAATTGGACATTTAACCTTAATAGTAAAAGAAAAGGCTGGTTAATGATTAAAATGCATCGTAAAACCTTCAGAAGGAAAGGAGAATGTTTTGTGGACCATTTTTGTGTGTGTGTGTGTGTGTGTGTGTGGCAGTGTTGAAGTCATTAGTTTTTCTAAAAAACGACCAGAAATCTGTCACAGAATTTTGAAACCCATTAACACAAAGTTTAATGAAGAAAAGAAAAAAGATCTCCATGGGATGTAGTGGAGGACCCGATTATTCAGTATGTTATCTACTGACCATGAGCTATGAATGTTCTTTCCGGCCCAGCTCTCCTGGGTCAGGAAAAGCAAACCAGGCAATGCTGGTCTTCATGTAGAACTTCTTTTCCTAATTCTTGCATTTCTGTCCATGGTACTACTACTGCATATTTACTGGGGTTGAAATTTCAGAGCCAATTTCATTGGCTCATTTCTACTCTGAGTTATTTTTCATATGTATCAATCCTTTCAACATCCACAATTACAATTTTTCCCTATGCTCCTATCAGTTCACTTATCTGTTACAACTGTTTTTCAACTGCCCCATCTAAACCTGGCTTCACCCTGTGTTAATCCTTTCTTCCTAACAGTGACAGGTTCGTGTTTCTAAAAGTCCACTTTGACCATATCAGGATTTGTCCAAAACTCTGCAACTCTATTTTGGTTAACTCATTCACATTTCCATTAGAATATTCACTCATGCCCTCTTAAGACCCTGGAAATAATTCCTGACACAAAAGTAGTACTATAAGGGATTCCTGCCAGGACAGGCATATCCTTACTTTCAAGACTTTCGTGATGCTCAGGCTTCATGTTATCTGCCCACATAGTTCGGCCTTACTCTTTTGTGCTTTATATTTCTTAGACCCTGACTTCTTGTCTAGTCTCTGACCCTCAAGCCAGTCTTTTGTGAGAGATTGCATGCATCTTCATTCAGACATCTTCAGTGGCTCACTATTATTTTTACAAATGCTTGGTTCTGGCATTCCAAGCCCTCTATGACTTTATGTTATAAATCCAACATGGATCTCCCAGTGCTCCCCAACATGAACTTTGAGCTGACCCAGAAAGACTCACTATCCTCTGAACACTCCAAAGTTCCTTATTGCTTCTGCATCTTAGTTCAAGCTATTGCTCACACAAGAAATCTCTCACCCACATTTCCAAATCTTAACCAATTTTTCAATGTCCAATTAAGGTCTTCATCACAAGGCCACCTGAAATGATTCTGGCTTACACTGAATTTTCCTTCCTTTAATCTCTTATTGTTTTTAACTATCTATACTACACAATGCAGAGGATAATGCCACACAATATAGAATTGGGGGAATATTGTTCATGGAGACTGACAATACGTGTTAGTCCCTCCCCTCCTTAACTCCAAGATGTTATGACTTCTTTCAGGGCAAGAATTGAGTCGCTCAATTATTTTTTCTACCTTTGTCCACATAGATGACTGCACAGATACTGAGCACCTATACACAAGATTTTATAAGTATTTGTTGAATTGAGTGAACAGAAATGACATCAGTTTTACGATATTGGAGATGTAGACTTTGTTTCCTTGACATTCCATTTTACATTCCATTCATAATCTAAAGATCATATTGGTACTATTATGGATAATGGTAACTCCTATTTATAGATGAAACACTAAGTGAGTGTATGGTACTGTTCTTGGCAGTCAAGAATGGTGAATGCAAAAGTATTATTAAACAACACCAGCACAAAAATATGCTGTAATTGAAGGATTCTTATGTAGCTGAATTATAAAAACTATCTCCTGCCAATTATTGCAGTGCTTTTATATAATGTTATACTGAAGATTCAAAAAGGAAAGTAGTTATCAGGTTAGTGTGCTACAATGGAGAATTATATTTAAAAGTATAAAACAAAATCAGATTCCTTGTAATAGCTAAGCTGAACATTAAAATCATTTCATTAGCAATATCAAACAATACGTTCTAGCTGAAAAACAATTTATTATTCAAAGAACCAATTAAACTAAATGCAATATATAAAAGTTGTGTTGGGGAGAAAGTCAGTTTCATATAATTAACTTCAGACTAACACTGAAATTAGTAAAGAAAATATGCAGATGTTACCAAATTTTGCAGTGTTATTACGTGGGAGTTGAAATA